TTAAATTCTCCAAGGAGTCCGGCTTTTAACTAATATAAATATGAAGAGGCTGAAATATGAAGAGGCTGAAATATGAAGAAGCTGAACTTTTAATTTCTTGAAATTTCATAAAATTGAGTAAGTGGGGATAACAGATAAAAAAAAAATTACCAACATTTTCTAAAATATATTTAAAAAATAATTTTATTAATTTGTCCTGAAAATTTCATTAAATCTGACAATTATTTATTATTTGCAAGAATTTTCAAAATGATGTGTTTTTTACGCTAAATTTCCCATACTAATCATTGGCACGCCCGCTGATGCCATTTAAATAAAATTTTAACCAAAATTTCGAACGTGCTAGAAAGGATAAAAAATTTAATAAAATAAGCAAAAAATAATTTGGTCTTTCCTCTTAATAATAACATAAATGTTTTGACGATAAAACTTTGTTTTAATCAAATTTGGCGTCTTTTTTCATCATGCTATGCTGTTTTTTATGGCGTTTTTGTGGGTACCTACGTACACAAAGGTTACTCTGGTCATAGAACGATGTGTATACCCAAATATATCAACTTCAAAAACTACCAGAATTCCACTTATTTGATTAGTATGCTTCCATCGTGGAAACCTTACAGCTGAACACAGATTTCTTGACAGCCTGATGTGACCGACCATTTTTCATGTCAGTGTACCAACTGGATATGAATAGTAGTATAATAGTATTTACTAGAGAAATCAATTTCTGAAATAGAATTCAAATTTTGTCGGAGGCACTTTTTAAAAAATCTCTTCCAACTGGTTAATGATCACTTTCTTTTGCCCGGGTCGCTAGTTACTGGGAAATAACAGGCCAGTTTGGAACCTTTTAGTGAGTTCAGCTAAAAGAACACTATACCGGAAAAAATGGCCCCCGCTCGCAATGCTAAAAAGAAAAGACATTACGCGTAAAGAATCGACTATAGACTTTAAAGAATTTGGGATTAAATTCAGTCTGTTGTAGATGGACAGATTAGGTTTCCATCAAAAGGCCAAACATCTAGTTAAAAATAAGCAGTTCTTATCAAAGTGTCAATCAGTGTTTTCACATCGTCACTTCATTTAATTCGGGCAATTCGATGTGGTGTAATGGTTAGCAAAGCTTGTCGAGCTCTATCAATTACAACTGAATAGTGACTCACTGGGTGCTCCACGCTTTCGGCCTTGTGCCATATCTAATCTACGCTTAGAAAATCATTTAGGCACCTCGATGTGGCGAGATCTTTTCTGTTAATTCACCCCACATAATGTAAAGTTACTTATCGCAAATACTAATTCATACAAGGAAATTATAAATTTTAAATCAAAATTTGTTTTTTATTAAATTTTTGGCAATTTGTTGAAATTATAAATTGTAAATCAAAATTTGTTTAGCTTGCCATGAAGTTGCTAAAGTATAAAACCACCTCCACATTTATTGGATCCAATCCGAAACTGTATTTTTTTTTTTTAATCGTTTCACCCCAAGCAAGGCGGGAAGCCACGAGGACGCAAAGGGTTACAGAAGATTTGGAGCAAGATCAGATAGGAGTGATAGGGGAAAGGACGATGAGAAGGATAGTGGATAGATCAAGGCAACTGAAGATATCGATTGACATTACATTTGAATAGTTGGAGATTATAGCTCTCAGGGAAACTGGAATAGGGAACGGAGTTCCACAGGCGAGAGGTGCGAGATATGAAGCTATTGGAGTATAAGAGACGGCTACATTTAGTAGTTTCGACAGTGAAAGGGTGAGAGAGGGATGCTAGCCTTGTAGGGCGCTTGAATTCATGGAGTCTGAGAACCAGCGAATGCAACTCCTCGGAGCAATTACCATGAAAGTATTTGTAAAAAAGACAGAGAGGCGACGGCGCGTCTGTGAGAGAGTGACTGTAGACGAGATGCCAGAACAGGGCCAATTATATTGCATATCCGCCTCTGGAGATGGTCAAAAACCCCGAGGCAAACAGAAAGGGCTCCAGATCATATATGGCAGCAATACTCTATGCAAGGGCGAATTGTTGATTTGTAGATCTGAAGGATCTATTCCGGGGAGAAAAATTTCCTGGCGCGGCACAGGGAGCCAACTTTCCTTGCGGTGGACGAAGCAATTGACTCAATCTATTTGTTCCATCTCAGGTCAGCAATCAACGTGAGACCGAGCAGCCGCAGAGAGGTGCTCTCGAGAAGTTGAGCGTCAGACATTCTTATGGGGGGGGGAGCAGGGAAGGATCTCTGTGATGATTAATAGAGAGCTGTTCTGTTTTTGAGGCATTAAAGTTGACCAGCCAATTCCTGCCCCAGTTCACAACCGATTGGAGGTCCTTTTCGATACGCACGGCCAGGTTAGTTTTGTTAGCGACACTAGATTTGTTTTAGAGGCAGGAGTAAATTGTGGTGTCATCCGCGTAGATGCCAACTTGGGAATTTATGGCGTCAGGAAGGTCATTTATGTAGATAAGGAATAGGGTGGGGCCTAGGATGGAGCCTTGAGGAACACCTGCAATCGTGGGATAGGAACTGGGGGAGAATCCGTTGAGAACGACCTTCAATTCACGGTTTGACAGGAATGATTGTATTAGGTCAAACAATTGACCCGTAATGCCATAACCCTGGAGCTTGCGAAGAAGGCCGGCATGCCAAACCCTATCAAATGCTTTGGAGATGTCTAGGGCCACGGCACGAGCTTCTCCGTTATTTTGAAGAGCTTGGTAGACAGTTTCAGTGATGGCCGTAAGCACATCAGCTGTAGATCAGCTTGTTTGTGAGCAGATCATGGGATGGAAGGTGGTTAACCACTTCGGTATTGATTAGGGCTTCGAAGACTTTGCCGAAGAGGGGTAGGAGACTGATAGGACGGTAATTAGAAGGGTCAGAGGGGTCGCCAGAGTTCTTGAAGACAGAAACAATCGAAGAAGACTTCCAGCAGTCAGGAAAACAAGATTCCTTGAGGCAGTAGCTATATAGTTTAGAGAGGGCGAGCGCCAGTTCAGGAGCGCATTTCTTCAAGACAATGGCTGGTATCCCATCTCCACCACTAGCCTTGTTGGAGATAATGCCCAGTAGCAAAGACGGGGTTATGTGTAACCCACTCAATAGGGCCTCAGTTCTAAGAGGGAAATCGGGTATGGGTACACCGGAAGAGTCGAGCGTTGAGTTGAATGAAAATTTCGGAGCAAAGCATTCAGCCTTGTCGGCAGAGGAGGTCAGGACCTCGAACTGGTTGAACAAAGGAGGTATAGAGGGTTTGCAATTGTTCAATACGCTCTTGCAGAGACGCCAATAATCTTTGGAGTCAAATTTGCGAGATGCTATACGCTCCTTCATCCGAGCAGCAAATAGTGACTTAGCTTCGTTGAGGACACGCTTACCTCGTTACAGGCGGAGGCAAAGTGACGTCTATTGCAGTCCGACTTGTCGCTGGAAATAGGTGAAAAGTGGTTCCTATGGGCAATGGCGGCTGAGCAAGCAGCGGAGAACCAAGGGGAGGAGTGCGACTTGACCCTATATTTCCATGAGGGGATGAAAGCGGCGATTCCAGCTTTAACCCAGGATGAGACCCCAGAAGCACATTCTTGGACGGGGAGTGTAAAGACAACCTCCCAGGGGACATCGTGGAGGAAATCACGGAACGAGTCCCAGTCGGTTCGAATCTAATTTTCTTGTGAGTCTGAGTAATATTTTCCATTCTACAAAAATCTATTTCTGGTAATTTTTTTAAATCTCCACATACATTATTTTTTACCTATTTTAGGGGTTTACTATTTGGTATAGCTGCGATACTGCTACTCAGAGTCAGGGTCAGGGTGGACCTGGGACCAACAGAAATTGATTGGTGGTTCGACGCTCCGACCACAATCAGAGGTCTTGCTTCTGAATTCTTTATCGTCATAACGATATATATATATATCATATATATATATATATATATATATATATATATATATATATATATATATATATATATACTATAGATATGGCAAAACAAGAGAGATTTCCTCTGGTGGTAGGATGAAACAGAATTGATTTTCATGCCTCTTTAAAATCCGGAAGTGTGGTGAGTGAAACCAGCTGGGGTTGGCATGAAGTTTTAGACCGGATGAAAACGTAGATTTTAAAACGGAACTCATTGCTATGAAGTTAAAATATGTAAACCATTTTTTTAATGTGTGCTGACAGGTAAAATAATAAGAGAAAAACAAAACCCTCCAGGAAGCTACTATATATATATATATATATATATATATATATATATATATATATATATATATATATATATATATATAATATATCCCAAAAAGTTTAAATGTTTAAATATTGTTTTTCAAGTTAATTATATAATAATTATAAATACCTATATCAGTGCATATAGATACATATATATATATGTATGTGTGTGTGTGTACACACAAATTCAAATATATATCGTTTATGTATATGTTTCTATACATATATGTGTATATATGTATATAGTATGTATATATATATATTGTTTATATACGTAAATATATATATATATACATATTTAAGTGGCATATTTTCATTCAAGCATTTTTGATTAAATAATTTAGACGTGCTATGTCTATTTATTTTAGTTTTAATCATTTCATTTTTTTAGTGGGTGTACAAATTCCAAAATTTTCATTCAAATAATTTTTATTTACCCAAATATTTTCAATCTCATCTGAGATTATCTTCAAGGGTTGCATATTTATGGATGAGGTATGCGTTAACACTCTAAATTCAAAATATTTTTCACCGCTTTGCAAGAGAGGTAACTTAATGTAATTTTTTTTAAATTGTAGTATTTTAATTTTTATAAAACACTTTGATGCTACGAACCTTTAAGGACTTTGTTGCTATTCTCGTAATTATTTAATTTTGGCCGCAATTCTCTTATATAAGGTTTTTGCTTATTATTATCTTGATGAAGCACTGATGTATTTTCGATTAATATCTCTCTAAACTGTGAATGGGGACAGTCCTGATTAGAAGGATGTACATATGTAATTCAGTCAAAATCTGCTCTCTCTCTCTCTCTCTCTCTCTCTATCTCTCTCTCTCTATCTATCTATCTATCTCCCTCTCTCCCCACCCTCTCTCTATCTCTATCTCCCCCTCTCTCCCCCATCTCTCTCTCACTGTCTCTCTCCCTCTCACGCATAAACTTCGAGAGTCAGGCGTGGCTGCTGGGAATATCTACAAACATCACTCGAAAGCATAGCTCAAATGATTAGAATCTTCTGGATGACGACGTCTTAGGTGTCGTCGAGAAAGAGACTAATTTTGGGCGTCGCAATACGAAAGATTCTTGAATGTTGTTATGGATGTAATGTTAAGTCTGGTATATCATAAAACACTGCCCGGGGCCCACATTCAGGTTTGCTACGCACGTCGGGGAGTTTGGGTGTAGTACGCGGCGGCCCTGAATGAATATATATCTGTCATTATTTGCAATGGTTTCCTAATCTTAATTGGTATTATTGTCTACGAAGATCAGACGTAAACTATCAAGGACAGTATGGTGATCTTTGATATGACGATAAATTGTTAAGAAAGATGGCATTAAGAAAGTGACGTGGTTGTAAGACCAATGTATATAGCCGTTTCTTTGGTTGTCTCCTATTAGAACTTGCGTCCCTCGTCTATGGTTTATTTAATGTCGAAACCGAATTATTTCGTACGTAATTTTATGCTTTCAACTAGATATTTTATAAATAATGTTATACTTTCCGGGCAAAGGTATGTTTCTTTTTAGATATATAGTGTGTAGATTATAAAATGTATTGCTGATAATTTTGGTATAAAAATGTATTTTTATATTTATTTTTTTTAGTGTTGCATTGGTTGTCATTTTACTATAAAAATCTATTGTTACTAATTTTATTATAAAAATGTACTGTTGGTTTTTTTTTGGCAGTTTACTATTTGCCCATAGCTGAGACCCTAATAGGTGCTACCACTCGGGTCAGAGAGGACCGTGGAACAACTGCAGTTATGAGGTGGTTCCATGTTACTCAAAACCTCCAATTTACTGCCGGATGTAGTTTATCGTCATACCCAGGACGATTTATAGGATATGCGTTAGATCGCTTGGCTACATGAACCTTCACATGCTAGCAAGTTTAATTACCAAAGATTGTAGTTTCCCTCTTAAGAATGATGGGGTATATTTGAATTCTATCGGAGAGCACATTTCCATTAGTAAGCCTCATGAATTCACAGGCCATTAGATGTAATTCATATTACTTAAAAAATACAGAGCGTCTATTCAAACACCTGTAACGCGTCACTCATTTAATCTATTAAAGATATTAATCCCTCGTGTTACTGGGATTTACCAGATTAAAGGAAATGCTGGTTCGATTCCTGTTAATTTTCGATTTCTATTATTTTCTTTAATAAGATTTTGTATCTTTATGGCGATCAGATTTATTTTGGTTGTTTCAAATAAGACGGATGCCTACACATTTATCCATGAAATATAATGTTTATATTAATAAGAAATTATGTCGGATTGAAAAATATTTTCGTTTGTTTATTTATTTATTTTTTACTAGAGTTCACCCAATACAAGGCTCAAGAATCCATCAAGAGAGAGGATTAATGAATGTAAATGAAGGATTAACAATTTACCCTTGACTTGAAGAAATTAAGATTATTGTGTTCTGGGAAGCATCCACACGGGAGTCACTTACACAAAGTAGCGGTTCTTGGGAATACGCTTTCGGACTAGAATTTCCTCCTTACCAATGGAATATATAGGGGACGAGGGTAAAATTAGTGTTATTAGAAAGAAGGTTCAACCTCTACTGGCATAACATGTATCAATAGAATAAATTAGGAGACATTTTAGTAGCAACGCCCGTTGATGAGGCCGTTGATGTTAACTCTCTCTCTCTCTCTCTCTCTCTCTCTCACTCTCTCTCTCCCTCTCTCTCTCTCTCTCTCTCTCTCTCTCTCTCTCTCTCTCTCCCTCTCTCTCTCTCTCTCTCTCTCAATATACACGGGTGGGGAATATATGACAAAGTGGAAAACTTGTGACGCGTTTCGTCCTTTAGGACTTCATCGGACAAAATTTGTTATGTTCGTGCGACTACACATACACACGGACTAGGAATATGGAGAATTTTAATTATTTATTGTTGAAATATATATATATATATATATATATATATATATATATATATATATATAAAACCGATTTTATTTAGATTCTTTTTTTTTTTTTTTTTTTTACTTCAATCATTTTTGTTCCTAGATATCTCACAATGTGATAGTAGAAGAACTCCCAGGAATGGTGAAATATTGTAAGAGCCATGGCGCAAATTTACTGTAGATGACATTTTGCAATCAAAGCACTCTCTTAGTCTTAGGGAATTGTTCTCTCTCTTGATCAGAGTAGAACATTTTTTGTCAAAATTAAAGTCTAGTTACGTTCGACTCAACATAAAGGTGAAGTCCTCAACGACGAAACGCGGCACATGAAAACATTTTCAAATTTATCACATATTATCCCCCAGTATTGTTCTTGATATATAAAATTATATATCGTTATCTCATATATATATATATATATGTGTGTGTGTGTGTGTGTCTGTGTGTGTGTGTGTGTTTGTGTGTGTGTGAAGGGTGAGGGGTGTGTGAATTGGGATCAAATAATCAAAATGATATGGTAGACTTTTAACACACAGAGGTCATCACTTTGATTTCATAAATGCCATCCTAGTTAGAAAAGAACACAATTTATTATTTAGAATGAATCCTGATAACTATTTTCCTATCAATAAACCCACGTCAAGCACACTTTGTTATATCACAGTTTTATATAAAATCAATACCTAAAGAATCTAAAATATGTCTTTCTACAACCACAACCGGTGCAACTTTAAGTATTTCAATCTCGCACAATACCAGCCCAGCCAACATACGGACAACTGCCGGGCATAGATGAAAATGCGCACTAGACGCTCAAATACACACGCAGGCATACACATTATCAACCGAATCATGCATAGTCCAAGGAGAACTGTGATGCACAAACACACATAAATTATACATACGAACGCTGCTTGACAATATATGAATACATGTGAGATCTGCATACCAACGAAAAACTAAAAGGAGAAATACCAGAATATACTTTCCTACTCCATATTTCTTTTTCTGGTGAAGCTGAATTAAAAGCGAAACAAGCGAATAAATTTAGAAACGTTTTCTATTTTTTCTTATATAATCACACACATACATAATTAGATGTCCTTTAGATGTTTGCATCTCTGATAAAAAATTTAAAACCTATGTTGGTTTTACAACGACGATGCTGTCGAGAAGGCTTACAATTTAGTTGGTTGAGCATAGTTCAGTCTTACAGCATTTAAAGGAAAACTCATGCCCACATTCACAGTATAGACAGATATTAGTTGAAAATACACCTATATTACACCAAAATAATAATAAGCAATTGAAAATGATATAGAACGATAAAAACGCATTAAAACGAATAGTAAATATATCTTGAATTTACACTATTACGTATACACAGACAATTTAACTTCCTGAAAAAGGTATCAGGTGAAACTGAAAGTATTTGGGAAAATAAAGTTTATTTGAAAGAAAAGTTTTTTCTACAGTTACCAAGAAATTGATTCGTGGACTCGAAAGCAAAAATAAATAGACATAGTATGCCTAAATTATTTAACCAAATCTGTTTGAATATATATATATATATATATATATATATATATATATATATATATATATAAAACAGAGTGACGTTTTCTTGTGACGCGTTTCGTCCTTTAGGACTTCATCGGACTGAATTTGTTATGTTAGTGCGACTACACATGCGCACGAATGAGAAACGCTGAGAATTTCAAATTTATTTATTTTTTTAAAATTTAGCCTATTTCATCTCGTTCCGCTGTGCAAACAATGCATTTGATGTATTGTTTTGTATAATATCCCTTTTGTACTCATATAATTTTTATTCAGATTCTTTGAGGTTTCTCCTATGTATTTTTCTGACAATTATTACTGGCGATAGAGTAAATTCTCCCTTCAAGATTTATCATTCATTGTTTAGTATTGACTAAGTTGTTATTCTTTTAGATGTAGTAGTAACAAATTTTATGTT